GCTAGGGTTGCCCCCCGGACGCCCGCGGGAGCGTCGCGGGAGGGGAGGGGAGTGATATCTCGGTCCAGGGAGTAGATGTTAAAGACCATGTACGAATTCGGTAGTACAGTTACTACACTACTCTAATGCTTATATACAAAATTATAGATGTATCACTTATTCACTTGTATAATATAATTGTAACAGTTTTTATTTTATGTACCTGATTAATATCCACCGTTGATGCTATGTACGCACCCAAATTAGCGGTGCAGATCTTACTATCTCACGTCGAAGTGAATTTTTTGTTTAGCATCTAAAAGTGAATAGTGAAGCTCTTTTTAAATTTTGTTTCGCTGAGTTATAGAGCTGCAGTTTCCTGCCTGAAATGCTACTAGTTAGGCATTTTTCACATTAGCGGCTGTCAGTTTTGGTTCTTTCCTTGGATTGGATCCATGAGCCCATGAGTGTCAAACATTGCAGGTATGTACATTGGAAAACAGATCATCAGTAAACCCAGTAGTGGCTGTGACTTGTGCTTTCCAGCTTTTCCTTGAATTCTTTTTTTTGCGGGGGTAAAAGGAGTTTATATAACTCAAGCTTTTCCTTGAATTCAGGTTTGTTTCCTTGACTCGGCAAGTTATTAAGAATTAGGAAAAGGAAGGCTGTGGCTTTGGCTTTCTGGGGTTTCATAGGACTCAGGTTGCTTCCTCGACTCGGCAAGTTAGGACTTTCGAAAAGGGAAAGGCGATGCGAAGAAGCGACTCACCTTGGCTGAAATGCTACTAGTCAGTTACACATTTTTCAGGCAAGCATCGTCAGTTTTGATCCTGTATTTGGAGCCAAGGATGTCAAATGTTTTGCAGGTATTCAAATCTAAACATTTTTCTCTGTAAACATTGAGGACTCGAAACAGGAGCACCAGGAAACCCAACGTCTGCGGCTTTCGCTTTTGCGGTTTTTCTTAAATTCAGGTTGTTTCCTCAAGTCGGCAAGTTAGGAATTTGGAAGAAAAAATAGGAAGGCCATGAAATTCGGCTTTCGTAGGATTCAGGTTGTCTCCTCAACTCCGCAAACAAAGAATTCGAGAAAGAAAATGTGAAAGGTCAAAAGGGGCGGTTCATTCAGAAGCATGGAATGCCGACGAAGAGAGGAAAAGAGGAGGATGAGGGATGGAAAAGAAAAAGAGGGCTCGACTGGTTGTGCCAAAAGGAAAGGAAAGGAGAGGATAGGAATAGCGTAGCGCAACCTGGATAGACGCAAGAATATATGGGACACGGAGTATCTACTCGCGAGCTCATATGCTCCTAGATGAATAGTAAATTCGCAAAATTAGAAAACAAATTCAAACAAATCTGATTTTTTTTGTGGCAAACTTGAAGGAATGTTTGAAGTGCACGGGAAAATTCATCACAAAACCACAGTGGTGGAAGGCATAGCAAAAAAACAACAACGATGCTATAGAAATGGTACTTTCAAACTCATTTTGGAGCGCTGATTTTTTTTGGCCATGCCTTCCACCAATGTTGTTAAGTCTCTGCTTACAATCTCTGCTTATAATCTCGAATCCTGGAGGAGGTAGCTAGGGTTACAGGAGGAAGGGGAAAGTGGGGAATTGCTTATGCTAATCGACAACCCTTCCCGTCTCCCTCCGCAGTGCGCAATTCGTGCCAGTGCACAAATTGTCGGCGTTTCTGGGCCATCTTGAGCCACAGCGCCGCATTCCCAACACAATTGAGAGAAGCAAATCTAACTTTCATGTGCTCAGAAACCCCATATATCTCAAAATACAGTTCACAATTGTCCAACCACACCTGGTGATCTTCCCCATCGAACTTGGGAAAGTCCATTTTGGGCGTGCTGCCCATGTGCGGACGAAGGGAATGATGTGAAGGTGCAAATAGGGGCATACCGTTGCCCGGAGGCAGATCAGGGAACCGAGGATCTCCCAGAACTGACCCCCGTGGTTGGTGATGCCCGCCGTGCCCATTTGGGCGGTCCTCGCCTTGCGTGCGCACCACCACGGACGGTGGTGTCAGGCTCGCCGCGGCCGGACCTTGGGGCCGCGCCGGAGGTGCCTCGAGCGCCTCCAGTCGGGCTGCCGCGTCCTCGGCATGGAGCTGGAGAAGCGCCGCAGACTCGGAGAGGCTCTTGGTCGTGGAGTCCATGGATTTCATCCACGCCGCCATGCCCTTCAGCTGCTCGGCGATGTCAGCAAGCTTGGCGTTGGTCTCTATGTTCTGTTGCTCCACCGACCCCATCACCGCCGAGATTTGTTGCTCTACCGCCGTCGGCCCACGCTTCTTCGGCGCCAGCTCCGACTCCCGATCAACCAACCAGATCAGCGGTTCCTGCCGAGTGATTGGAATTACAGCGGTGGACGAATCCTCCGCTTACCGCACTACGGACTGATGGAGCCCGCGTCACCGCGATGGATCGAACGACCTCTGATACCAATTGTTAAGTCTCTGCTTACAATCTCTGCTTATAATCTCGAATCCTGGAGGAGGTAGCTAGGGTTACAGGAGGAAGGGGAAAGTGGGGAATTGCTTATGCTAATCGACAACCCTTCCCGTCTCCCTCTGCTGCTCTTTATCTCTCGCTGCCGTGATGCCGCACTGGGTTCCTCCTGCCCTCCAGGCCCGGTCCAGCAGGCGTGAGCGGCGACAGGCCTTGGGCCTCCTTCTTGGGTTGGGCCATGGCATAACAAATGTGAATTCGTGATGAAATTTTACATGCACTCCCGACATTCCTTAAAGTTTGCCACAAAAATAAGATTTTTTTTTCATTTTTAATTTTACTGTTCACCCCAAGAGCATTTGAGGTCGAGATTAGAAATGCACTTTCAAAATATGTAAGCCTTGCCATAGAGACAAAGGTGTATATAGAAGTGCGGGGGCGTGGGAATTCGGCCGATTTGGTGGCGACACAAGGGGGGATGGGGATGGGGCGGGGTGCAGCCGCTTTTTGTTTTACTTTGCATCCTATTTTGGAGGTGTTACAAATTTAAAATAAATTTTGTTTGCATATAGGGCACCTATTGGTGCATTGTTTTTGTCGGAAAAAAAAAGGTAAAATGGTCCTTCCTTATTATTGGTGCACTAGTGTAGTGTCAAAAGCGCTCTTATATTAATGAGATGAAGAGGGTAGATTTGATTAACAATTTTTTTTAGAATTTAGCAATATAAATCTAATCTGATCGATTTCTGGCCGGTAATAATTGTTAGAAATGTAACGGTAGCCACGCAACGTAGCAGTAAACTCGAAGATCCTCAGCCGTTGGATCCTCGTGCTCGGACTCCGTTACTTCACGGCGTGAGAAGAGACTCTGACCCTCCGGCGACTTCCCCGCCGCCGCCGCTGCTGCGCTCGCTTGCCTTCTCCCCTGCCGGCATCGAACGCCTCCAGCTGTTCCTCTCCATCCATTCCTCGCCACCTCCAGAGTCCGCGCGGCTCGTTGCGCCGCACGAGCCTCGCCCTGTGTGTTTCAGTCTTTGGGTGTGGGCTTGGCCTTTGTTGTTTCGGTTTTCGCCTGATTTTTCCATAATTTTAACTGGGCAATTCTCTTCTGCGTAATTAATAGATGAGGCAATCTTTGCCTCTGTTTCGAAAAAAATTGAAATAAATTTTGTTTACATATAGGGCACCTATTGGTGCATTGTTTTTGTCAGAAAAAAAAGGTAAAATGGTCCTTCCTTATTATTGGTGCACTAGTGTAGTGTCAAAAGCGCTCTTATATTAATGAGATGAAGGGGATAGATTTGATTATATGCTCACTCTCAGTTCACCTGTGTATCAATTTTTATTTTAGAATTTAGTAATATAAATCTAATCTGATCGATTTCTGGCTGGTAGTTGTCAGAATGTAACTGTAGCCACGCAACGTAGCAGTAAACTCTTCCTCAAAAAAAAAAAAAGAGCAGTGAACTCGAAGATGCAGTCTCAGCCGTTGGATCCTCGTGCTCGGACTCCGTTACTTCACGGCGTGAGGTGACTCTGACCCTCCGGCGACTTCCCCGCCGCCGCGCTCGCTTGCCTTCTCTCCGGCCGGCATCGAAGCCTCCAGCTGTTCCTCTCCATCCATTCCTCGCCACCTCCAGCAGTCCGCGCGGCTCGTTGCGCCGCGGTAACAAGGCCACCATTGGCCGTCGCCGCGCGAGCCTCCGTTGGGATGCGCAGCCCGCGGCCCGTCGGATTCGCTCTCGCCCGCGGCCCCCTCCGCCTTCAGAAACCTCGGAGTCTCAAATCCCAGCAGCAACCCTCGCGTCGGCGGCGTGGAACTAGTGTAAGTAGCAGCGCCTTGTATGAGGTAAGTCCAGCAGTTAGGTTCCCAACTTTCCATCCTAAATTGGATGAACTGCAGTTATCTAGTCGGAATTCCATTGTTCCATGCTGCGTTGCCACATTCAGATTCAGTTATGAAGCATGCTGGCGCAACGCGAAATCGCAATTCTGAACCAGTTTGTTCTATGAAGAAATGTGTAATCACTTTGAGTGGTTCAGGTTTCTGTATCTGCCTATCTGGTCTTGGGTCGATGCTACCAAACCTCACAACTGACTTCAGTGGCCGTCAAGCGTCAATGGCTTGGTTTGCCATAGTGTCACCTCTTGGCTTGTCCATCCTGTTTGTTTGATGTGTGCTCGGAAGGTTACAGTCACGGTAAGTCTTACAACATCCTTGTGTCGCTGTCAAAATAATTCATCTTTCCTCTTCCAGTTTTTATTTTGCTATTACTGTGATTCTACTAGTCACAATCCATTACTCGGCCTGCACACGTTTTCTTCGACAGATATTTGTTTCATTCTTCTACTTTTCTTTACCCTTGCAACACGTTCAGGGCGAGACAGCCCACCATTGTTTGTTAAGTCAAGTCAATAGTGTAGCATAACTCCAGGCCCATTCCTTCTGGCAGACAAATCCTTTAAATGGCATCCACATTCTACACACAAGATCTCCGAAGCTCCAACCTAAAGTTCTCCCAACTTCCTGGTTCTTCCACATCCTGTAAGCTCTGAACATCATGCCCTCATTTTTGTCTCTACTCTGTATTTTTCTCATCCTTTTCTCCTTCAACACTACAACAATCGAAGCAGCACAAGGAAACAAGTCCGAGATTGATCGGCAAGCCCTCCTTTGCTTCAAGTCCGGCATCAATTCTTATCCCCATGGCATCCTAAATTCATGGAGTGATGACTCACTTCACTTTTGCAGCTGGAAAGGGGTCACTTGCAGCACAAAGTTTCCACCCCGGGTGGTCTCTCTTAACCTCACCTCTACTCGTCTCAGTGGGAAAATTTCTGGATGTGTAGGCAACTTGACCTTTCTATCATCGATGAACCTTGCCGATAATGATCTGTCGGGAACCATCCCTGAAGAGTTGGGTAAGCTCCCAAACCTCCATACGCTGAATCTTGCCAATAATAGTCTGACCGGTGGTATCCCTCTCTCATTGACCAATTGTTCCTCACTCAGCACACTTATACTGTCTCGTACTTTGTTTGATAACTTATCTAAGCTTACTAAGGTTGATCTCCAGAAGAATTCTTTCACGGGACTCATCCCACGTTTCCATAAGGTCACAGCACTCAAACTTCTTTGCCTGACAGAGAACTTCCTCTCTGGAAGCATACCTCCTTCAATAGGAAATGTTTCTTCCCTGACATCTATATTGCTCGGCCAAAATAAGCTATCAGGATTAATTCCAGAAACTATAGGTCACACTACAAAACTACTTGAGCTTGACCTAAGTTTCAACAGTTTATCAGGTAATGTCCCGGTTTCTCTTTATAACATGTCATCACTCAAAAACTTTAGTGTTGGCAGCAATGCCCTTGTTGGACAGTTACCATCTAACATTGGTTACTCGCTACCAAACCTCCAGTCCCTAATCCTGGGAAGCAACAGGCTGGAGGGCCTGATCCCTGCTTCACTAGCCAACATGTTAAATCTTCAAATACTTGATCTTTCAAACAACTCGTTACATGGCTCTGTGCCATCTCTTGGTTCGTTGACAAACTTGCGTCAGTTAGTTTTAGGGAGGAACTTGCTAGAAGCACATGACTGGTCATTTCTTACATCTCTGGCAAGTTGCACCCAGCTGACAAAATTGTCCTTGGAAGGGAATGCTCTGAATGGCAGCTTACCTATAGCAGTTGTTAATCTTTCCACAACGCTAGAAGAGTTATCGCTTGCATCAAACCAAATTTCGGGCTCCATACCTGTTGAGATTAGCAATCTTGTTAATCTCACTTCGCTTAGGATGGAAAGCAATTTTCTTTCGGGAAGGATACCATCTACCATTGGGAAACTGCAATACCTATATATCCTAAGTCTATCGAACAACAAATTATCAGGTCAGATCCCTCCCTCAGTTGGTGACATCACTCAATTGGGCAAGCTTTATCTTGATGATAACAACTTGAGTGGAAACATACCTGGTAATTTAGGTCAGTGCAAGGGACTTCTTGAACTAAACTTGTCTCGGAACAATCTCAATGGGTCAGTACCAGCCAAACTGTTTGATAATCCTCCATTTTCCTTCGGTCTAGACTTCTCACATAACAATCTCACTGGGGAACTGCCTTTTGGTACACATGGTGCTGGTTATGGTCCAACATCCCTTCACATGGAAGGAAACAAGTTTCGTGGACAAATCCCAGCAAGCTGGAACTCACTATTATCAACCCAGCAGATTAATCTTTCTCACAATGACTTATCTGGTACTGTGCCTGAATTCTTTGAGCACCTTAGTATGCTGGAGCAACTTGATCTGTCTTACAACAACTTGGAAGGGGCTGTTCCTACAAGTGGGATCTTTGAGAATTCTGCCGCAGTAGTTTTGGATGGAAACAAGGGACTCTGTTCGAATTCCTCGAGGCTAGCATTACCAATTTGTCCTGGCATCTCAGCAGCAAATAAAACAAAGCACCATAAGTCCAAGCACCATCGGTCCTTGCTGGCGACCTTGCTGCTAATTGTACTACCCTCTGTTTTTAAGGCGTCCGTAAGGCGTCGCTTAGGCGACGCCTAGGCGTCAGGGCGCCCTCCAGGCTCAGGGCGTCGGCCTTGCCTTAGACAGTCGTGTAAGGCGTCCGCCTTAGGCTGTAAGGCGTCTGAAGCGTCCGCCTTAGCGCCACCTTGCACGCCTCAGACCAAATCGGACGCCTTAGCTTGTCAGGCAGGGAAACAGAGATTGCAGGCGGGAAAACTGACCTGGGCGGGAACACAGGCGCGGGAAACATTGGTTCAGGTGCGACCAGTTATGAGAAGGGGAAAGAGAGAGTGAATCGACGTGAGAGGTCTCTCCTGTCTCCTCTCTGGACCATTGACGGAGGCTTCCTCCTCAGATCTGCGGCAGCCGCCAACCTCCTCCCTCCGGCCACAGTTCCTCCCCCTCCTCTCTGGCTGCAGCTCCTCCCCATCCTCCTCTGGCGCAACCCTCTTCCAGCAGATCAGCACCACATCAAGGTATGAATTCAGCCCTCTCTTCTCCCCCCTTTCCCCCTCTCCTCTTTCTTCCATCCAGCAGTGTAGCTTGCCATGCTTGCCTGCTCTGTTATGCACAGCTCCTCTACTAACTGTTAGGTGCTGCCTCTCTTATGCACAGCAGTGTAGCTAGATGTGCTTGCCCGCTCCTCATCTGCATCTGTTTCTTCCCAGATCTGCTTCTCCACCCACAAGGCAGCAGCCCCACCACTGCTTCTCTCCTTCCCCATGCTTGATCTGGCTGCTCTAGTGATTTGGCTCTTCTCTCTTTTTCTTTGACAGTAGCCAGGTGTACCTGCTCTGATGGATCTAGCCAATGATCCTAGGAGAAGAGCTACATCAGATGATCCAGCCTGGAAGTATGGGTTCTGGCCAGATTTAGAGAGGAAAGATTTACTCCAGTGTACATTGTGTGGCAAGATAGTCCATGGTGGAGTGAGAAGGCTAAAGCAGCACTTTTCTGGGGGTTCCAGTGATGCGGATAAGTGTCCCGAGGCATCCATGGAGATTAGGATAGAGATGCACAATTCCTTAAACACTAGAAAGTTTAAAGCTATGGAGCGATATATTGATGAGGAGGATGAAGCTGAACTTCAAAGGCGCCGTTCTGTCATATACACAAGATGATTTGAGGCCTATGCTTTGGTAACAGTTTATATGTTAATGTTAGTTGTTAAATCTCCTAATTGGTGGCCATCTATTATATATGTATGTACAATTTATTAAGTTAATGCTAGTTGTTAAATCTCCTAATTGGCTGCCATATATTATATATGCACGTGTCTAAGGCGTCGCCTCGCCTTACGCTTTAGCGCTTAGGCGGTGAGGCGCCCCCCCAGCGCCTCGCCTCGCCTTACCGCCTTAAAAACATAGGTACTACCACCACTTACTATTTCTTCCCTAGTATTGCTGTGGCTTCTGTTCACTCTTTGGGATAGAGGGGTATTATTCACTCATTGCAAGAATTTGATTTTATCATTTTCACCATCGGACGTTTTGTCCAAGATTTTTCGCCTTTTTGGCCATCTCAAGCGAAGGGAAGTGCATACAGTTCCGTCCCATGAGGAGAAGCTGAAAAGAGTGTCATACAGTGACATCCTTGAAGCTACTGATTGGTTTTCGTCGGGACACAAAATAAGCTCAAGCTGTACTGGGTCGGTCTATGTTGGGAGGTTCAAGTTTGAAAATGATCTGGTGGCTATCAAAGTATTCAACCTGAATGAACCTGGCGCTAATGAAAGTTTCTTTACTGAGTGTCAGGTGCTACGGAGCACACGCCATCGAAACATTCTGAAGTGTGTGACTTCATGCTCGACGACGGACACAGAACGCAATGAGCTCAAAGCACTAGTCTACCAATTCATGGCTAATGGCAGCCTTGAAAGATGGCTTCACCCTAAGCAACACAATGGCACACCAAATAGAACCCTAAGCTTACGGCTGAGGATATGCATAGCCGTGGATGTGGCCTCTGCTCTCGATTATCTTCACAACGAACTGACGCCGTCTTTGATGCATTGTGATTTGAAGCCAAGCAACATTCTTTTAGATTATGATATGACTGCACGTATTGGAGACTTTGGTTCAGCAAAGTTTCTGTCGCCAGTTTTGGGTAGCCTAGAACACTTGATCAGTTTCCGAGGAACAATTGGATACATGGCACCTGGTAAGTTTATTTTTCATTAATGCACTTGTCCATGGTTTATCTTGTATTTAAGTACATCATGTTGCTTTTGCAGAGTACGGAATGGGTTGCCAGATCTCAGCAGGAGGTGATGTCTATAGTTTTGGAGTGATTCTACTGGAGTTGCTTACCGGAAAACGACCAACCGATGATATGTTCGTGGATGGGCTTAGCCTTTGTAAGTTTTGTCAATCCATGTTCCCAGACAGAGTTGCAGAGATTCTAGATCCTCATGTGGCGCATGAGGAGCATCAGCGGTGCGAAGAAGTGGACGCGGAAGCATGGATGCAGCGATATATTGTCCCGCTGGTTGCCCTAGGGCTGTCATGTACCGTGGAATCTCCCAATGATAGGCCTGGAATGAAGGATGTTTATGCAAAACTATCTGTTATCAGAAGCTCTTTTCTGGAACGCCGTGATGATTGATGAATATATCAATTCTGTTAGGGTGTACTAAATTGTTATTGTTAAGGATGTATTTTTGTAATTACCAGAGTGTGTTTGCGTCCTGTACCCTATCTATTTGACAAAACTAAAACAAACTGTGTGGACAAATATGTGATTTGCAACTAGGCATAGTTGGATATTGGAAGCATCACCAACCATGCTTTGTTGTAGATTTGTTTTTTTAATAATATTTATATTGACATGTATGTATTGTGAAATTGTTGTACTAATTAGTACTCGCTCTGTCCCAAAATTCTTGTCTTAGATTTGTCTAAATACGGATGTATCAAGTCACGTTTTAGTATTAGATACATCCGTATCTACACTAATCTAAGACAAGAATTTTGGGACGGAGGGAGTAATTTGTAAATGTGTCGTACATAAAGGTGTTTTTGAATGAACTGATATGTTGAATTTACTAATAAATCTGGTCACAGGTGTTCTTCTGAACACCTCTTTGCAGCCTGAACTAGCGGCAGGGACCTCTCTGTCCCTCCCCTCGCCGTCCGTCTCTGGCTTTCCGCACCGGCTTTCTGCCCCTCTTTCTTCAGTCGGTCCAGATACAAAAAAGAGTCCAGTCCAGCACATCTCAAGCAAACCATGTACTGTACCACCTGACAACCGTCTCCTTCGCCCATTTCTGAGGAGGAAGCTGGTGCTGCACATCACCTGCTTGTTGTAATGCCCTGCCCATGTTCTTGGTAGAATTCAACAAAGGGCCTGCTTAAAGCTTCGTCACTTTTCTCTTTTCCTTCCTCTCGTTGGTCGTCAAGGCCGGGCCAGAGGAGGTGCACGCCTGGGGCGGCGGAGAAGCGGAGATGACGCCTGAACACGGCTGCCCTGAATCAAGGTCTACTTTTACTCCCTGGCCTCCTCTAACTTGTTTTGCAGCTATACACCATGGTCTCAACCAAACATTCACCGTAAACGTGGCCTCCTCTAAAGCATTCAGTAGAGGAGTAACCTGGTATATCTGCAGTAAACGTGTATCAGGCCCTCCACTGAACCGAAAACTGGTCTGGGGTTGGCAGTAGCGCATCATAACCTAGCATAGTACCAAGTGCTGACGTACCAGTCTCTGCACGCGTTTTTCTCTCTGCTTTTTCGTCGAGTCGCCGTCTCATTTCTCATCCACTTTCTGTTCTGCCACTGAGGAGTGTTGGTCTGTGACGCGTGACCAAGATTACAGGCAAGGCAACACCAAGTCAAGTAAAGGTCCCAGAAAAGAAAACACCCGGTCAACTAGTCAAGTGTCCAAGTCTACTTAGGGAGACACATATAACACAATGAATTCGCACTAGATGCACTGAATTAGACATGGCACCTGCAACAACTCTGCGCTCTCTTTCTCCACATGGCATCCTCATTCTCTTCACCCATCTTCTCATATTGTTCTCGTCCAACACCATCGCACAATCCATCAGCAACGGGTCCGAGGTCGACCGACAGGCCCTCCTCTCCTTCAAGTCCAGCATCTCCAGTGATCCGCGTGGTGTCCTGTCATCATGGAGCACCTCGATCAGCTTCTGCAGCTGGAGAGGTGTCACCTGCGGTATTACTCTTCCAACTCGTGTGGTCTTGCTAAACTTGAACTCTGCACAGCTCAGTGGTCAGTTATCTCCTTGGATAGCTAACCTTACGTCACTAGAACGGCTAGACCTTTCAGAAAATCGCTTCTCTGGAAGCATTCCAGAGGAGTTAGGCACTAGTAGATCTCTTAAAAGTGTCGATCTCTCATTAAACCAGCTTGTCGGCCCTATCCTAGATTTCCATAAGATGTCAACCCTTCAATTTCTTGATCTTTCAAGTAACAACCTTTCTGGAAGCATACCTTCATCACTGGGAAATGTTTCTTCTCTCACAGATATACGGCTTGACACAAACAGGTTATCGGGTTCAGTTCCAGAGACTTTGAGCCTTATTCAGAACCTTAGTATGCTCAATTTAAGTAACAACTACCTGTCGGGGCACATCTCCACCAAACTCTGTAACATGTCGTCACTCATTTATCTTGGACTAGACCAGAATAACCTTACTGGACGAGTACCATCTTGCATTGGAAACACGTTACAGAACCTTGAATTGCTGTCCATGTCGGGTAACAAATTTGAGGGATTAATTCCATCATCACTAGCAAATGCGTCGAACCTCCAATATATTGATCTTGGACACAACTTACTAGAGGGGCGGATCCCATCTCTAGGATCTCTATGTAACTTAACCTTTCTAAATTTAGGAAATAACTTCCTACAAGCTGAAGATTGGGAATTCCTTGTCTCTCTGACAAACTGTGCGCAACTTGAAACATTGGATATGAATGGAAATGCCCTGAATGGAAATATCCCTATATCAGTTGGAAATCTTTCTAGAAGTTTAGTGCGTTTAATTCTTGGAAACAATCAAATTGTCGGCACAATACCAGTTGGGATTTTTAACCTTCGAAACCTCCAAATGCTTGCTATGGGCCAAAACTTGCTTTCCGGTGTTATTCCCCCTCTTATTGGGAATCTAGGCCATCTGATTGTCCTAAACCTATCAGGAAACAAATTTTCTGGCCAGATCCCATCTACAATAGGTAATCTTTCTCGGCTGAACAAGCTTTATCTACAGAACAATGAGTTGAGTGGGAACATCCCAGCAACTTTAGGAAATTGCAATCAACTGTATATGCTAGAATTATCTTTTAACAGCCTTGAAGGACCAATACCAAGCGAACTCTTCAGTGGCACAACCCTGGTCGGTTTGGATTTGTCAAACAACTACCTTACAGGATCAATACCACTACAAATTGGTGCATTGCTTCAACTTCTCCGACTCTATATTTCCTTCAACCAATTGTCTGGTCAAGTTCCACTTACATTTGGCGAATGCGTCCAACTATCTTCTCTCAGATTGAGAAGTAACATGCTTAATGGAAGCATACCTCGATCATTCAGTAACCTGAGGTCCATCGAGCAGATCGATCTTTTCCAGAATTCCCTTGTTGGAAAAATTCCGGAGTTCTTTGCAAACATGGATTATTTGCAGCAACTTGATCTGTCTATGAACTACTTTGAAGGGCCGATTCCAACTGGTGGCATCTTTCAGAATCATAGTGTGGTAGCGTTGGATGGCAATGAAGAGCTTTGCACAGGTGCAACCACCACCTTATATCAATTCCCAGTTTGCACCACAACGTCAGCTGTTGGGATCAAGAAGAATGCACTCTTATTGGTAAAAGTAATTCCTCCTGTTGCCATTGCCCTGATCTCTTTCATATGCTTTGTGGTCACTCTTCTGACGAGAAGTCAAGCAGAAACAACTACATGCTACAAGGAGACAATGAAGAAGATTTCTTATGGTGACATCGTCAAAGCTACCAACTGGCTCTCTCCGATTAACAAGATCAGCTCAAGTCGCACCGGTTCGATTTACATTGGAAGGTTTGAGTTTGACACGGACTTGGTTGCCATCAAGTTATTCCATCTCCAGGAGAATGGTGCGCGTGACAGCTTCGTTACTGAGTGTGAGGTGCTGCGAAACACCCGCCATCGCAATCTTGTCAAAGCTGTCACCGTATGCTCGACAGTAGACCTAGAGAAAATGAATTCAAAGCTATAGTTTTTGACTTCATGGCCAATGGAAGCTTGGACATGTGGGTGCACCCGAAGCTACACAACAATAGCCCCAAGAGAGTACTGAGTTTGGGCCAGAGGTTAAGAATAGCGATGGACGTTGCGTTGGCTTTGGATTATATGCACAACCAGTTGACGCCCCCTCTAGTCCACTGCGATTTGAAGCCAGGCAATGTTCTTTTGGACTACGACATGACCGTGAGAGTTGGTGATTTTGGGTCAGCGAGGTTTCTCTCTTCAGTTCCTGGTAGTCCAGAAGACTTGGTTGGTGTGGAAGGAACAATTGGATACATCGCACCTGGTGAGTTCAACTTTGTTTCAAGTATTTTCTTATTGTTTTTTTTCTCCTGTAGTAATAATGCCATAACTGATTTTACAGAGTATTGTATGGGATACAAAGTCTCGCCAGGATGTGATGTATTTGCTTTTGGAATCCTCATTCTAGAAATGCTCACCGGAAGGCGACCGACGGATGCAATATTCACCGATGGCCTGAGCCTGCACAAGCTTGTGAGCTCAGCATTTCCAGGCAGACTTGGAGAGGTTTTAGATCCCCATTTGTCCCACGGTCACACACATCCGTGTGACAGAGTGTTTATGCGGAGATATATGGTACCCTTGGTTGAAGTTGGCCTCCTGTGTTCCATGGAATCGCCTAAAGATCGACCGGGAATGGGAGAAGTCTGTGCCAGAATTTTGTCTCTGAAAGAGGCGTTCTTTGAGTTCTGCTGATTAATCTGCAGATCTACATGTTCTTTGTATAAGGTGTGAATATCTTTGCTGTAAAAATTGGTTCTACAGACCACATTTTAGTGTGGGAAGATCATCAGAAATCTAGTTATCGAAATATTGAATTCCTAGAAAGAGTACATGTTCAGTATTGGAGCTCCCTATGTTGGAAAAACTAGTATCTGTATTCTATTAGACATGATATTTTAGAAGCTGAGTTCATGTGATCCCAATTAGGAGCCGCGGTAATTCACGTTGTCTGAGCTCATGCTCATCTACGCCCGTTGAAACTAAATTTAAAAATATTTAAAATATAAAAAAATTGTATTTTTTTTGAGAAAACGCAAGAGACTTTGCGTTTCATTTCATTGAACTGGAAGACATCGAGGGTACAACCTCCAGAAAGGAGGGACACACACACACAAACACGACCGTCCTCACCAAGCGACTACAACTAGGTGAGGAGGTGCCCTCAACTACAGACACGCAACGACATTAGGCCTCGCCCAGCAGGCCAGCGTCAGCGCCATTGCCAAACGCCTCCAGGGACGATTGCAGCTCCAGAACTGCTCAGGCCAACGTACCTCGCACCCATGTGCCTAGAGAGTCGGCGGGCGAAGGGCAGGGCCTGATAGGAACGGGTGAAACAATCATTGGGGAAGCGTGGGTGCTGGCATACGTTGCGATCTGCTCCCTGTGTAGCTGTCTACGCCAGAGCGATGCATCACCAGCCTCCATCTGCCGCATGAAACTCCACTTGCAGCCAAAGCAGCGCCTTCAAGAGGGGAACGGCGCTGAGACGCCGCCGCTGCCCGGTCCGGGAGGCCGGACCTGGGATTTCTCCTGGTGCTCGAGGAGGAGATCTGGTCAGGGTCATGCCAACGCCTCCAAGGAGGTGACGACACCCTCAGGCGTCGCCGTTGACAGCGGAGGCCGTCGCCGCGCGGGGATTTCGCCCCGACCCATGAACAAAGACCTCAGATGCAATGGCAGACCGGACTTGGCGAAGAACGTCGGAGAAGACCAGCACACATGGAGGGATGCCTAGGAACGTTGTCGTCACAGGAGGAGCACCGACCGGCGCGACGCCAGCAGGCCGGCCACCGCCGGGAGCGCGACGAGCAGGCAACAGCAGCCACCTGCACCGCACCGCCGCCGCGCCGGCCCGCAGCATCCGCCGCCAGGAACCGCCGGGGCACAACAAACATCAGCCATCAAGGACCGCCGCGCGCGTGCACACCCACCCAGCGGCTACCACCGGCGACGGCCGGGAGGGGTGGAAGGAGGGGGACGGGTGGGTTGGGGCAGAAAGAGAATCGCAGGCCAGGGCGGGCC